TTTAGCATAATATGTTATGTTATGTGGCGCTATATAAATTAAATTGATTTGAATTAATTTTTATTTTGTAATGTCATTGTCTGAACGTGTGTTTGGACTGATTTTGTATTTTGTGATTTTGTGTTGTTTGGTCTTCCTGCCTCAGGACGAAAGATGTAAACTAGCAACTATGCTAGAATCTGGCTCATTTACAATCTGTATGAGATTGTTCATTAATGTGCACTGTCCTGATTAAAGAAATAAATAAATAAAATAACTTAGTCCATGACACGCAGACTGATTGTCTTATTCCTTTTTAGATTCATATTATTCCCTTTAGAATTATACTTTTGGGTTAAACTCTCTCTTTATTACAGTAGATACTCGTCTTTAACCCTTTAAAGCCTGATCCAAGAATAAAGAAAAACAGAAAATTCCTTTTTTTTGGTTTGAATTCCTTATTTGGCCTTTTAACAAAATATGTAAAAAGTAAAAACAGAAATACATTTTTAATATTAATAATTTATTACTATGCGATAAGTCCAGATTATTTTTGTGTAGTCTTCTGCCCCCTGTTATCAGGTGTATCTGATTGTGTGCAATAGCATTTTGAGCAAAGTTTTTACCATTAAATTATGCAAAAGGAGTCAGACACAAAACATTTCAGAAACCGTAATTTGGCATTATAAGGTTAAGGTCAACATCCACACTTTCTTATCACATACCACTGAAACCTGCATGAATTAGGACCTGGCCTGTTCCTGTCAGAGCTAACTGGCCAATAACACTCGGTTGCTTCCAGCCGTAATGACCAATAAATGTCATATTTTTACTCTTGATCTGCTCTGGTTCATTCTCAGGCTTCCAACTAAAGAATCGGGCTAACAAACACAAGAAAATGTCGTCTCCATGTGGTCAATTAGTGTCTGAAGTAGGGATGTCCCGATCCAGCTTTTTCATTTTAGATCCGATCTGATCCCGGCCTATCAGAGCATGTGTTAAAGTCTAAAGTTATTTATCTACTTACTTAGTTGTCAGACTCATGTTGAACAGGGATTTACTCTGATAACAACTTAATGGTTAGGACACAGACCTGTGGGTTACAGATGCTAATGCTAATGCTAATGGTCTGATAATAACTTAATGGTTAGGACACAGACCTGTAGGTTACAGATGCTAATGCTAATGCTAATGTTGGACTTTATAAATAAGCTGGACCCTCCACCCTTCATAATTGTGAGAAATAAATATTTTTTGGTAAAACTTGTTTGGACTTATTGTACAAACCTATTTAACATCCACTATTTTAACATAATATTATGGATAGAGTTTAATTCAGTGTTTGCAAGATTCATTTAACTATTTTTAAATTAATGTCTATATTGCCTTGAAACAATTAGGATTTTCTTGCCTGGGATCTTCCTATTGGTGACCTAATCAAAATGGCCGACTTGGATGTGGACGGAGTTGGATATCCATCCTTGGCTTCCTGCAGTATTTCATTTCCTGTTTTATTTTGATAGTAACCTTCCTCTTGTTTTAAGGTCTCTTTAACTCCCCTGTGTATCATACGTCTGCTTTATGTTTTTACATTTATAGCCTTCTACCTCCTGTTCCAGTTATTATTATTTGATACTTTATTAATAGCTTTGTCTGTCTCGTTTTAAAAAATTATTATTATTTTTTATTTTTCGCCTTTCCACTCCCAGTGTGCCTTTATTAAAACTGAAGTTTTTGCATAAATCTCTCTGCCTCGAGTCCAATTTCAGTAAAAAAAATACAGCAATTGAATTGATTTCAAATGTCGTTCCCCAGGTTTTTTTTGGACTGACCCACGTACCGATTACAGACATCCTCTTCCGTACGTTGTTGAAATCCAGGATGGCCAGGAGTTCGTAGGTCTGCTGGCGTCCCATCTCCACGATGGAGATGCTGTCGGGCGTTCTCGAGCGGAAAACGAACCCAAAGTTTCTGGCTGCTGTCACCAGGGCTCCTTCATCCGGGGACTGGGCCTGGTACAAAAGCTCCCCTGGGGGAGGAAAAAAAGACATGTAGGCTCCTTTTTGTTTATTCTGGAAATAGGAAGCCAGTTTGTTGGATTTAGTACCCTTTAGGGTAGATCAAAAGACTTTAAAAAATATTTTAAAATAGAAAAATGATTTTAAAAAAGGCTAAAAATATGAAAAAATATTTAAATATATTTAAAAAATATTTTTAAAACAGAAAAATTATTTAAAAAAAGGCTAAAAATATGAAAAAATATTTAAATATATTTAAAAAATATTTTTAAAACAGAAAAATTATTT